GATACTGATCATGGTGATGATGATGATGATGCTAATGATGATGATGATGCTGATGCTGATGATGATGATGCTGATGATGATGATGAAGATGATGGTGGTGGTTGTGGTGGTTATGATGATGATGATGTTGACGAGGAGGAGGATCAGGATGAGGTGGAGGAGCATGAGGAGGATGATGATGCTGATGATGATTATGCTGATGCTGCTGCTATGATGATGATGATTATGATGATGCTACTAATGATGAACATGATGATGATGATGATGATGATGATGATGATGATGATGATGATCATGATCATGATGATGATGATGATGATGATGATGATGATGATGATGATGATGATGATGATGATGATGATACTGATGCTGACGATGCTGATGCTGACTCTTATGCTGATGATGATGATGTTGATGATGATCTTGATGAGGGAAATGATGGTGATGGTGATCATGATGATGATGATGCTGACGCTGATGCTGCTTCTGATGATGATGATGGTGACGATGCTACTGATGATTATGATGGTGTTGCTGCTGATGATGATGATAGTGGTGGTGGTGTTGATGAGTCTGATGAGGATGATGGTGACGATGATGCTGCTTCTGATGATGATGATGGTGACGATGATACTGATGATTATGATGGTGATGAGGGTGACGATCATGGTCATGATGGTGTGAACATGTTATGATGCTGCTGATGATGATGGCTCTGCTGATTATGAGATAATTCTGGTGATGCGGGTGATGATACTGGTGATGATGATGATGATGGTGATGATGATGGTTATTCGGCTGCTGCTGATGATGATGCTGATGATGATGGTGCTGACACTGAGGCTGCTGCTGCTGATGATGAGGTTGATGCTGGTGGTGATGCTGCTGACCATGATGATAATGCTGCTGCTGCTGCTGATGATGATGATGATGATGCTGTTGATGACTATCATGATGCTGATGATGATGATGCTGATGATGATGATGATGATGATGATGATGATGATGATGATGATGATGATGATGATGATGATGATGATGATGATGCTGCTGCTGCTGCTGCTGCTGATGATGATGATGATGATGATGATGATGATGATGATGATGATGCTGATGCTGCTGATGATGATGATGATGATCAGGAGGAGGAGGAGGAGGAGACTGAGGAGGACCCACTAACGATGTTGGAATTAACCCTCCCTCCAAGCTCTCTCTTCATAGGCCCCTACGAGAAGTCATTTCCACTGAAGGAAGTGCCGCGTTCGGTGACAATCGTTTGAAGGTGCGGAAGGGTGCCAAAACACCATTCTTGGGCTTCCAACGCTGCGAGTCAATTTGACTGCTGCGTGTAGACGACCCTAAATCGCGCCATAACGCCATTCCCAGGACTTCAACACTGCGAAT